ATCCTACGTGGACGGTCTGAGGAGCTTATAGCTCGACTTTTATATAGTATAGATTAGTATTGTTTGAACAATGAGTTAATTTCTGTTAACAACCACAAAGTGAGATTGCATATAATTCAGTTACAACAAAAATTGAAAGATCATAAATGAGTCGCATCTAAAACGTAGATTATTTTGAGTTAATTAAATAAATTAGCTATTATTTTGAATTACTTTGGGAAGTTCCTTTTTCAATTTATAATTCTTTGGTTGTTGAAATAGAGATTTGTTTGAGCTAGTTACAGAATTTAGCAATTATCCGCATAATCAAATATGTTATGAACATATTTTGGTATATAATAATATCAAATTCAACCCGTGCGTGGATTCTATATTTTCATTTTAGAATCCCAATGAAAAATTGCGTGCACATGTACAATCCATCATTTGTTATTTTCAAAATTGCTTGCAAAATCAAATTTTCAAACATTTGGAGGTGTCAAACATTATTTAACAATCTCATCATATAATCTTAACATAACGTATGTTCTAAGGATCATAACTCTTTTTTATCATATATAATACATTCATATATAATACATTATATTTAACCCGCTGCCTGCTATAAATATTTTAAATATATCTGTTTTAAAAAATCAAAATGGAGTATTTATAACTTTTATCTTTTTGCTTTATTAAATATTTATGATATTTTTTAAAATATTAAATTAAACTATTTTTAATTGTTCCAATTTCAAATATTTTGAAATTTTTTTTATTGTAATATATAAAATTATGAATTTCAAAAATAGAATTGTATGAAATTAAATATAAATATTTAAATAGTTATAAGGATCATAAATCATTCCATCATATAATATAACCCGCCACCTATTATAAATATTTTTAAATATATTTAAAAAAAAAAAACTAAATTAGAGTATTTATAATTTTTAATTTTTTGATATATTAAGTATTGATGATATTCTTACAAAATATCTATTAAAACTATTTTTAAATGTTACAAAAACGGCATTATGATCCCGCATCCAAGGAGCGGTGATTACCGAAGCTTCTTCAGCCCCATTTATCCACTCCCCCTGTTTTCCGAAACCATTTATGTGCAGATTAACTACTTTAGGGAAGACTTTCATCCATTTAAAAGCTTGATACTCAGGTCTGAATTTTTTTTTACTTCTTGTGGCAAATCGACTACAAACTTTGTGTGGAATTCCTTAACCTCCATGCCCGCCAATGACTTCATGTGAGAGGACCCACCTGTTCTGTTACGGTCTTGCACCTATCAATTGTGAATCCTGGTTGTTAAAGCTTTTTTTAGGTTCTTGAACATGTCCAATGATCATTCTCCTTCATACTTTTATGACAATTTAAGTAACACGCTCTCCACACCAGCTCCACATGATACGGTTTGTCTAAGCTCAACTCTCACTCCGTGACAATTTTAGCAAACAACCTCAAACATCATAGCACCTTCATCCTTGCTCGAAACCTTGTCAAAGCACTACCTCGTGTAGTTCTTCTCGTGCCGGCGAGAATCTCGACTTTGGTCCATCCACCAACGCCACTTCGTCTCTTGATAGTGGCTAATTTTTTCTCCGTTGACTCGCTCTTGGAAGACTCATCAATTATTTTTGATCTCACATGTACCAAAATGCTTCATAACTTTTGGCTCAAAACTCTTAAGAAGTTATTATCGATTAACTTTATCTATCTTTTTATCTACTTTATGTTGGCTTTGGGTAAAGGCCCTCTCTGTTGTTATTGAAACTTTGGGATCTAAGATTCCTTTTATCTATGTACTTGAGTTCTACCTTAATGGAATGAAAACAAGTTTTAGTCCAAAAAAAAAAAAGTGTTACAAACTAAAATATTTAAAATTTTATAGTAGTATATAAATTATACGTAAAAAAAATGTATGAAATTGAATATCAACACTCAAATCCTGATCCATTACTCAAGCAAAATTTTTGTTGAATTGATATTTGTTTAAAAAAACTAGGGGTTGATCCGCGCTCTGCGCGGGGTAAAGAGTTTCCTCGATTATTCGATTAAAATTTAATAATTTGGTTAAATTTACTAAGTTAAGTATTAGTATTAAAAACCAAAAACAGTCGCGTAGTATATTGTTTATTCTCAATTATTAGTCTGTTTGAGAAATTTTGTAAATAACATAGTACTAGATTTTAACCCCGTGGTACACCGCAGGATGATTTATTTTTAAATTTAGTTTATATAAAATTTTGCAAATTGTATATCTTTATAAAATATATGTATTTTATAGTTTACAATTGTTATTAAGTAACGGTATACCATGAGTACACAAGACAATTGTTAATAAACTGAATATTTAACCCGTATCAAAGCGGCATGTTAATGATATTTAAAATTTTATAAATATTGATTCAAACTTTTCCACCATATAACCCTGATCCGAAATATAACATGTCCTGTAATTTCTCAACCCGTCCCGTAATTTATTTCCTAAAAGTAGTAATTTTTAAAATTTAACGATTATTTATTATATATAAAAGTTTTCAAATTGTATCATTCTCTATGATATTTAATATTTATAGTTTACAATTGTTAGTAAATGACATTATATCACGGGACAATTTTTGTTTTTAATTTTACAATCGTTTCTAAATGAGACTGATTTGATATGTCTAATATTGGTGGTATTAAAAAAAATTAAAGATTTAATCCTTATTGAAGCGGCGGATTAATGATATTTTAATTGTTTATTATTGTTGATTTAAAAACTTTGTCCCGCCAAACTCGTCCCGCCAAAAAACCATTTATTTTATTAATGTTGATCTTATTTATGATATGATTCTGAATCATTGTCTAAATATTTTAGTCGATGTGGAACGTTGAACACACATTTTTGTCAATTGGATAATATATGTCCGTTTTAAAAATTTTGAATCACAGTATATGCAGAAAAAAAATTAATTTTGACTTTATGTATTATATGATGATTCAAAACAGTTAAAAACAAATCAAACAAAGATTATAGGAGAATCATAATTCTAACTCTTAGTCAAATTTTATAAATATCTAAATGATTAAATATGAAATATTCGGTGTATGAGTTGGGTTAAATATAATCCGACCGAACAAACTTTTTATGAATAAAATTTTTAAACGGGTCGGATACCCATTGTATCCAAATGCATTTTACCTCACCCGCTAAAAATGTACTTCAAAACTAGATTTAAACCCGCGGTACACCGCGGGATGATTTAATTTTAAAGTTAGTATAAAAATATTTTGTAAATTGTATCTCCTTATAACATATTTATTTATATTATAGTTTACAATTGTTATTAAGTAACGGTATACCACGAGTCCACGAGATAATTATTAATAAACTGAGGATTTAACCCGTATTAAAGCGGTATATAAATATTGATTCAAATTCGTCCGCCATATAAATCATTTCCGAAATATAACTCGTTCCGTAATTTCTTAACCCGTCCTGTGATTTGTATTAAAAAAATAAGGATTAAATCCGTATTGAAGCGGCGGATTAATGATATTTTAATCTTTTTATTATTGTTGATTCAAAAACCCGTCCCGCCAAACCCATCCCGCTAAAAAACTCATTTATTTTATTAATGTTCATATTTATGATATGATTCTGAATCATTGTCTAAATATTTTAATCGATGTAGAACGTTGAACACACATTTTCGTCAATTGGATAATATATGTCCGTTTTTAAAATTTTGAATCACAGTATATGCAGAAAAAAAATTGATTTTTTTTTTTACTTTATGTATTATATGATGATTCAAAACAGTTAAAAACAAATCAAACAAAGATGGTAGGAGAATCATAATTATAAATTTTAATCAAATCTTCTAAAAATCTAAATTATTAAATATGGAATATCCGGTGTATGAGTTGGGTTAAATATAACCCGACCCAACAAATTTTTTGTGAAGGAATTTTTAAAATGGGTCGGATATCCGATATACCCGAAAGCTTTTTTACCCACCTGTCACAAAAAGTGCTGCGATGATACTAGATACTAGTATAGATAAGGAATATTCGGTATATGACTTGGGTTAAATATACCCGACCGAACAAACTTTTTATGAACAAAAGTTGTAAACGGGTCGTATACCCATTGTATCCAAATGCATTTTATCCCACCCGCTAAAAATGTATTTCAAAAATACTAGTATAGATAAGAAATATTTGGTGTATGAGTTGGGTTAAATATAACCCGACGTAACAAACTTTTTATGAACAAAATTTGTAAACGGGTCGAATACCTATTGTATTCAAATGTATTTTGCTTCACCCATTAAAAATATACTTCAAAAGTACTAGCATAGATATTGTTTATTCTCAACTAAAGTCTTCAATTTTTTTCGTTCTCATATGAAACTTCCAGTTAATTAACTTTTTCTAAATAAACGTACAAATCGTATTGTATTAAAATATTTTTTACAAACGTACATGACTTGGTTATAAAGAAGTAGAGAAAATTGTATTGTATTAAAATATTTTTAGCTGCATTAGAATTGTATTGTTTGTTTATATGAGATTGACAATTTATTTGGTTCAATTAGGTATTCATAATTGCATTGTGTCATTGAGAACAAAAAAAAAATAGTTGTGTTGTGTTAAAGTTTCCAAAATGTTTTTATGTAATAGTAGAGAGAAGAGAATCGCAAGATATATACATGGAAGTGATGAAGCATGTTGGTTAATTGCATAGCCTCCAATAGACGGCTTACAGTCTCCATCATCTCAATTAATTGTAACTCTTCCGTGTTGTTCAATCGAGGAAAATATATACACGGGCAAGATGAAAAATGATTACTACCTACAAAAGAAAAGAAAAAAATGATTACTAGCAATTTCTCACAACCCTAAGCATCAAACAAAATATATGATCTAATACGATGCATTGGATATATGATAACAAATAAAATATAGTTTGGAATTTTATATCTTACCAATGATAATACATCAACAAGACAACAACCAATGTAGCCATATCCTGAAGACAATCACCGATAGTATCCTTCACAATACCTGACCGATCCGATCATCAATCCTACAGAGAAAAAGTTTTTCAGCTCTAGCTTTAAGATTATTTATATCGAATGAGAGTCTTTTACAATCTATTATATCTTGCCTTGTTAAAACTTTCTTGTTTGGACGTTGGTTCGAATTTTAACCGGAGTTAAATAAAGGTCGATGACCGGACGCGGTCAAATTTTCAAAAGAGTGTAAATTACTTAGACTTTTGTGAGCCCTAATATATTGTTACCGTCTTCCCTACGCAAGTTTGTTGTGGAGACCAAAAGCAAAAGGGTATCATTTTCTGGCTCCGTAGATTCACTCTCTTTAATAAGCTACTTCACCATTGATGAGGTAGTTTTATTTTTCTCCGAATTGTGGACAGTTTGCTTGTTTTTGTTTTAGAGAAATCACGAGTTGTCAGAAAGAATGTAGTTTGAAAACATGTCTGGAAAATATCTTGAGAGAAGCTGGTGTTTCTATATAAGGAAAATCACAACAGAAGTCATCTGAAACTGTGTTTGGGGAGACAATGATCTCTAGAACGTTGATGTTGGTGACATCACATGTTATTCTGATCATAACCATAAAGCTCCTTAATTTGCATCAACTGATTCAACGCAGAGTTATTGACAGATTCTTGTACCACCGAGTAATGTTCTTTGTTTGAGACGCAAGGGTGTTGAAAGTTGTTGCTATTGGTGTCAAGGAGAAAGTCAAGTGAGATAATTGCCGTAAACATACAGAAAGTCTCAAAGAGTGAAAGGATTTGGACCTATCTTCAAGTTCCGTGGACGCGAAGATCTTTAACACTTCCAATGAAGATAAATTCTTCAAATGGTCATACCAGCCACGGTCAAACTCTTCTCTAGCTACAATTCTTAAGATCATCCTGTGGTTTGATGGCAGGATATCTGTAACCAACATTTAGATCTTCCTCACAATCTCCTTGGTCAAATGTGTCCCGACTCGTCCGACACAAAATAGCATTGATCCGTAGCGTAATGATACAGATTCATGTTCCGTGAGAAGAATCTCTCAAAAATCTTGAAGCCCTTGTACCAAAAACAACTGTTCCTTTTCCTTATTCACCAACTCAATTACAGAATTAAATTCATAGCAATAAACCCTTTTCAAGATGTGAAATTAATTAAGACGAGAATAAGGGACACGAACACGTAAATCAGATACATACCATAGAGCAAAGAGATCTCCTTTTATTTAGTAGGCACCGCTTTGAAACTCCCTAAAAGATTCCAAACGCCGTTAACCTTAGGCAGAGGAAACACCGAGAATGTAAGCAACCAAAGGAATTACATAATCAGATTGAAAATAGCTCGAAGGGAAGACCAAAAGAGAACTCAACAAGGCCAATATCCATTAGCATAACCAAACCGTTCACAGGAAGCTTCAAATCTCTCAAAACCAAAAAGCCTTGAGCTATACGTAACTTAGGAACATCAAGAGCCACAGAACAAAACGGAACACGATACTCTTCACCACCCTTGTTTCTTCCTAATCGTAGATTCACATAACTGAAGCTGAAGAAGCGAAAGAGACAGCTCGGCGAAAGAAACAGAGCATTGTGGTCACTCGAAAAGCTTCCTATTGATGTGGGACTCTGAGAATGTAAGCATCATTCACACTTCACAGTTCATGGAAAAAAAAAGGAACTGGCCTCAGACTGTGTATTGGTTTATTTCACGAGTGGATCAAAGATCCTTTGATGTCGTTTTATGGGATACAGCTTCATCACCGGCCAGTTTTGATCTTCCCTCATCTGTTATAAACCAGTCCATAAAAATTCGAGGGGACGACGTGGGATAAATCTGAGTGGTCGACGTGGGCCTGGGCTTTATTTAAATAAATCTCTCTATCTCTATCCAGATACAATCACCGAGCTCGGCCCACTTGTCTGTATGCGAGTCCACAACATTGTCGGTTGAAGCCTTTCATCGAAGTCGCTCAGATCTGTTCTCTGGCGGTGCGGTGGTCGCCGGTCAAGGTGGAGCGGTCGTCCTGGATCGCTCACTTTGCTCACTTTGTCGGCTCTGTGCTGTAGAGGACGGCGGCGAGATCTACGGTGTCCATAAACTTTGTCGTTGACTTTGCTCCTTCACGATTTAATCACGAGCCTTTGCTTTCTCTTTCGCATATTTAATCAAAGGTTCAAATCCAACACTCCCTCTTGAACCCTTTGATTAAATACCCAATTTTGATTTTTCTTCCTCATCTCCCTCTTGCTTCGATTTATTCTTCTTAATCGACCCTTTTTCTCTATCTCCGACGACAGCTAGAGGTCACAACTCTCACCGATCACCAGTCACCGTCACGGCCGCCGTCTTCAACCACCACATCCTAACCGGTGAATTTTCTGGTGTAACTCTCAGCCCTCATCTCTGGCGAGCATCTCTTTATTCACCATCAATTCATCTGAGACTTCATTCAAGTCTCCCTCTTCGACAACGAGAGATATTGCAATGTCACAGTATATGATTTTTGAATTAGAGAAGAAAGGAGAAAACAAGAAAGGAGATGTCTGATTCAAGAAAACGTTTGGTGGATGAAACGTAATCCGATCAAGCTGAAACTTGGTGGTAAGCTTCGTGAAAATGCTGTCTTGAGTATCAACGGTGGGATTGAGATTTTGACGGTTGGTTTGTGTTTTATTCGAGCTTCTTCCGGGCACAGTTCATCTGAAAGTTTCAGATTTGACCAGTTCTTATGGAAATGTCAACCGGATGACCAAATAAACTCGGAATGAGATGAAATTTTGCAGAGATACTCTAGACATGTGAAACTAGATTCTGGTAGAAGGACACTGGATTTGGAGTCCGGGAACATAGTTTACTGATGACATTTCAGAACAGTTGATTCAAAGTCTTATGGAACAATGAGTTTCTAATGACATGAAAAAGGTGAAGAGCATAGATGTTGAAACATGTTATGGAAGCATCCTAGAAACTATGAAGAATGCTGAAAAGCGTTTTTAGAAGAGACTTTGAAACACAGAGATTGCAACTGAGACTAAGAGAGGAGTTGAGACAGAAAAAGTTCTTAGTTCATGAGAAAGATGAAATTATGTAAGAGAAGAGGTTCTTCTGAATGATTATCATCAGTAAGGTTTATGAAGAATGCTGAAAATCGTTTTTAGATGAGACTTTGACACAGAAAGATTGCAACTAAGGCTAAGAGAGAAGTTGAGACAAAAAATAAAAAGTTCTTAGTTCATGAGAAAGATGAGATTATGTGGGAGAAGAGGTTATTCTCAATGATTGTTATTAGTAAGGTTTATGATGATATTCTGTCATCAAACTTTCTGTTAAATCAAGGTATAAAGTCATGGAAAGTCTCAGATCAAAGAAAGATAATGCATGTTGGTTGAGAAGTTTTCTTGTGAAGAAAAGTTCAGTCAAAGGTTCTTTTGGAGAAAATTTGCAAGGAGATTTCAAGTGTGGCTCATGCTGGTGATAAACTGTGAGAAATTGTTTCATCTTAAAGAGAAACCAAAAGTGAAAAGCAATTGGAGAGGAGAATTCTACGTGATGATTCACTCTATATGAGAAGCTGATTGGGATCAATCTGCGATGTATCCGCTGCAACTACAAGGTCGATAGGAGTTGACACCGCTGAAGGAATTTAAATCCGAAACTCAGCTGAATGAGAGAAGAATCTTCTATTGGAGTTAGAGTAACCCTTTGGAAAGGAAAGAGATGTTCTGTTTGTGGTATTTGGTGACAGCGTGCTGGTGTAAATTCTTGATTAGGAGAAAGTCACTAAATCTGATACTATATAAGATGCCATCTGACAAGAATTGTGTATGAAAACAAGAATTGGCTCAAATACCAATCCAGAGACATGAATGTCAGAGCATTGGCTCAGCAGTTCTGAGAGTACAAGGCATTTGAGTAAATGGAGTCTGAAACTGATCTCTACGTCGGCGTCTTCAGAATTTGGTTTATCATGAAGAGTTATTAATGTGAGAATCTGATTGTGTTTGTTGAAGAAACGTAAAACACAAGTTAGTGGTGAAGAATCAGTCTTCTCATAGCTCGTTCATAAAGATGAGGATTCACGTATTGAAGTATTCATGGATCTGTTGCTATCACAAGAAGAAAAAGACCTTCAATATTGGAGAAGCTTTGCAGAAAAAAAAAAATCGTTAGAAAGCTCCATGTTTTTGCTTCGAAGGGAAGGACTGTAGAAGAAATATTAGAAAAGTTGATGCAGAAGACGCTCCGTGAATGACAGATGGCAATAAAAGGAACTTCAGAGAATGATCAGAAGCTGTGTCAACATATCTGTTGGAATCAAACACATTTAGAGGCAAAGGCAGAGGTTGACATCATTTTCTTTGAGTTTTTAACTTAGTTATGCACTCAAGCAGGGGGAGATATCGCACACAAAGAGAGTTCTTCAATCTTATCTGGTCTGAGGACATGAATTGAAGAATGGGGTTTTACTTGAAACTGACTAATGAGAATGGATGGATGCTGCTTGCGTGTGTCTTTGACTGAATGAAGTTTGATTTAAAGAGCAGAGTGCTTGAGTATCAAACTAAGTTAAAAAGGGGGGAAATGAAGATGTTAGATCTTTTGAGTCTAATAGATGATGAAACATGAAGCATTGAAACAGCTATGATAAATCAGTTTGTGAAACTAATACAAAGGCCTCAATTGCGAGGATATGTAGTAGACAAAGCGCTCAGAATTTTGGCATGTTGGGTGTTCAAAGCCGGAGGTTATAGACATTTTTGAATACATGGTCAAGACGGGTTTGGCTTGATATTGATGGAAGAACGAGCCCAAAGGGGTTACAAAGCTGTCTTCTGGTTTGTCATATTTTTTGATAATCACAGGCTGATGATCATTAATGAAGATACAATGTTATATGTCAAGAAGCTGTGTGTCAGATCAAAGAAAGATGAAAAGGCTTAGTATGAGGCAGTTCCATGACATTGAAGGACTCAAGAGGAAGATAAAATATATATATATATATATATATATATATATATATATATAGAGAGAGAGAGAGAGAGAGAGAGTGAGTGCATATGGATGATTCTTGAAGCTTTAGCATTCCTGCTCCAGAACAAACACTGTTTGTCATTTCATCTTGAGGACAAGATGAGACTCTCAGAGGCGGGCAGTAGTCAGAATAGCAAGTATGGAGATAACTAGCTATATAGTGTTGATGAAGATGATAAAAAGGATAAGAATACCCTCTCAAGAGATATTAGGGTCATGAAATGGGATGTGAAAGAGTTGTGTGCTGAGTATAAAAAAGAGTGTAAAATCGGGCATTATAAGAGTTATGAATATAAGAACGGGTGTCAAGGTGGAGGCCTAGCAAGGGATGTGGATATTCAAAGAGGTTGTTTCACTGCTGTTAGACACAAATATGTCCCCGTGGGAGAGGGAGTTATGGTTTCATATTTCAATTGGGATGACAAGAAGAGAGGCACACAAACACTGAGCTATTCGCAGGATAGCTCAAGAGGACTCCAAAATTCAGTGGTCTTGACATCTGGGACTGTCAATGCGTTGGTAAGATCATCTTTCCATCAAATTTGGATTACATATATTTTATCCAAGTGGGTCTTGAAATGATCATGAGGTGTTACAACATCAGCAAGTTCATCAATAGTCCTAGAGAATTGGTAAAGAGGTGTTCTATGTCTGTTACCCGGAAGGAAGATGCTCATAAGAAAAGAGGGAATGAGTTTTCAGGGGCGAGTAGTAGTAGGTGTGGATGGTTGGTCTTTGATAGAGGAAATAAGAATAGAATATCAGGAGATGTTATGAATATAGTATTCTCGGTCTTGGATTTAAAGAAGTGTTTCTTGCAAGGTGGATGTAGTGAGAATAAGAAAAGAGGGAATGCGTTTCGAGGTATAAAAGAAGCTGAAGAAGAACACTTGCTGCTGTCTCCGGTGAATTCTTGTGTGAGCACTTACACTGTGACCCATGAAAGTGGCGTTGCAAGATGGGTTGCTCAAGAATAGCATTACCTTCTCATGGCCGAAACTTCCCAAGTTGTCCTCTTGTTACACTCTGGATCTGATTCAGTACAAGACTAAATTGAAGTTTGGGTTCAAAGTGTTGTTGTCGACTTTTGAGAGAGTGTCGAAGAAGCTAAAGGATTGTAAAACACATGAAGCCTCCCGAGCCAAGGTGAAGCTAAGTCAGAGAGCTTTTCCAAGGATTGTAGCTACTGATTCAACATTCAACTTCTTTCCACCTTGAGGACAAGGTGTTTCTTTATTTGTGTTATGTCCCCAACAAAACCGTTATGAGTATAGATAGTATTTTATATGTACCATGACTAGCTGGATGGAGTTTTGGTGGTACTTTTTCTGTGATTGAATCAACCCTATATTATATAGCCCCGAATTATTCTTTTTCTGGTTTTGCATTGATTTTCTAATTATGTCGATATAGTAAAAGTACTTCTATAAATTAAAAATGTTGGGTTATAATGTTGGGACCCTGATATTTTAGTAATTTATAGTGATATTAATTTATCTATAGTGTAAATAAATTTCACTAATTTATAGAATTTTTTTTAGTTATTTTTTTAAAAAAAGCATAAGAATTAAAACTATTTGATCTAAACAAAATTAAAGCTTTGATTAAAGCTTACATATGTTAGTTACGGGTTTTGATTTTTGAAGTACTTCCCATGCTTTATTATAGTGATGCTTTCTTCGCTAAAATCTGGAACGACGCGTCTAATGGGGTTGGTGACGAGTACTTGATTTATGATGGATTTTTGTTTCGCGGTGCTCGGTTATGTATTCCAGAATGTAGCTTGCGGTTGAAGTTAATTAGCGAGATACATGGAGAAGGTCATGTGGGAAGAGATCGTACGCTTAAGTTGATAAGCTCGTCATATTTTTTGGCCAACATTAAGACGTGATGTTGAACGATTCATTGTGCGATGTGGTATTTGTCAAGCTGCTAAAGGCAAAGCTTCGAACGCTGGTTTATACTTGCCTCTTCCTATTCCTACACAACCTTGGACTGACATAAGTATGGATTTTGTCCTTGGTCTACCACGAACACAAAGAGGTAATGATTCGATTTTTGTTGTTGTCGATCGGTTTTCCAAGATGGTCCATTTTATTCCGTGTAAGAAGACCACTGATGCAGTGCAAGTTGCGATCTTGTTCATTCGGGAAGTGTATAAACTTCATGGTTTACCTCTTTCTATCGTGTCGGATCGCGACTCTCGTTTTCTAAGTCATTTTTGGAGATCATTATGGCATCTTCTGCATAACCAAAAAAAGAATACTTTCTCTGTGATTGAATCAGCCATATATTATATAGCCCCGAAGTATTCTTTTTTTGGTTATGCATTGATTTTCTAATGATCTTCATATACCTCTAGAAAAAAAATACAGAATACAGTACAGTAGAACCTCTATACATTAATAATGTTGGATTCTGATATTTTATTAATTAATAATGATATTAATTTATTTGTAGTGTAATTTAATTTTTATTAATTTATAGATTTTTTCTAATTGTCAATATTTTTAGAAAAAATAAGAATTAAAATTATTTGATCTAAATAAAATTAATGCTTTGAATGTTATAAATTGGGAAAAATGCCTAAAAAAACCCAAACTAATTTTAATTTGGAAATTTAATCCCCAATACTTTAGGATTGGAATAAAAAACTCTCATCTAATTATTTGTCGTCATAAAATACCTAGTATAAAAAACTAGATTAAGACCCGCCCGATGTGCGGGTTTTAAATTTTTTAAATTAAATTAAATTTAACAAAAAGACATATTTAACTTTTTATTGTGAATAGAAACTAATTTAAGAAATAAGAAGATAAAATTATAATTAGATAGAAGATTTGTTTATATATTCATCTTTTACCTTAATACCCTTATTTGCATTTCTATATTTTATATTTGTTGATACATTTATTATAATAGTAAAGTAAATTTAAAATACCATTCACCAAATATTTTACCAAGACACTAGATTTTAACACGCGGTACACCGTGAGATGATTTAATTTTAAAGTTAGTATAAAAATATTTTGTAAATTGTATCTCCTTATAACATATTTATTTATATTATAGTTTACAATTGTTATTAAGTAACGGTATACCACGAGTCCACGAGATAATTATTAATAAACTGAGGATTTAACCCGTATTAAAGCGGTATATAAATATTGATTCAAATTCGTCCGCCATATAAATCATTTCCGAAATATAACCCGTTCCGTAATTTCTTAACCCGTCATGTGATTTGTATTAAAAAAAATAAGGATTAAATCCGTATTGAAGCGGCGGATTAATGATATTTTAATCTTTTTATTATTGTTGATTCAAAAACCCGTCCCGTCAAACCCATCCCGCCAAAAAACTCATTTATTTTATTAATGTTCTTATTTATGATATGATTCTGAATCATTGTCTAAATATTTTAATCGATGTAGAACGTTGAACACACATTTTCGTCAATTGGATAATATATGTCCGTTTTAAAAATTTCGAATCACAGTATATGCAGAAAAAAAATTGATTTTTTTTTTTACTTTATGTATTATATGATGATTCAAAACAGTTAAAAACAAATCAAACAAAGATGATAGGAGAATCATAATTATAAATCTTAATCAAATCTTCTAAAAATCTAAATTATTAAATATGGAATATCCGGTGTATGAGTTGGGTTAAATATAACCCGACCCAACAAATTTTTTGTGAAGGAATTTTTAAAATGGGTCGGATATCCGATATACCCGAAAGCTTTTTTACCCACCCGTCACAAAAAGTGCTGCGATTATACTAGTATAGATTCATCATTATTATTTATGTCAAATTTCAAAATATCTATAGTTTAAATTAATTTCATTAATTTATAATATTTTTTTTAGTTATTTTTTTAAAAAAGCATAAGAATTAAAACTATTTGATCTAAATAAAATTAAATCTTCGATTGTTATAAATTGGGAAAAATGCCTAAAAAACCCAAACTAATTTTTTTTTTTTTTTGTCAACAGCTTTTAATAACCCAAACTAATTTTAATTTAGAAGTTTAATACCCAATACTTTTGGATTGGAATAAAAAATTATCATCTAATTATTTGTGGTCATAAAATACCTCGTATATAAAATACTTCATTTAGGCATTTTTTCCGTTATAAATTTGTATTTTTAGACTTAAACATTTAATATTTAAAAGAAAAAAAAAACAATTTTCTTTTATAATGAATAGGAAAGATTATAGAGTTTACATATTCAAACGATATATATAGATCTATCTTAACATTTTTGAAGTACATTTTAAGAAATTCAATCGGACCGGATTTGTTTTTTTAATTTTTGATCCGGATTTTTACCTGTAAATTAGACATTCGGATCCTAATAATTTGAGACATTCCTTAAAAAAAATCCTAACGCAAATAAATGATTGATTTAGTAAATATATGTAGTTGTAACAAAGATATATTTCGGATGCAAATCGTTTCCTAAATAGGTACTAATGAGTTATGCAATTCACATTTTTTTCTTAAAAAAAAGGAACTATATTAATTTTGTATTCAATCCACCTAAAGATTTGGAAATGTCTCATGATAAACGATTTTTAAAGATATTATCTTAAAATGGTTAAGAGTATATGTAGCATATTTTAGATTTGTAACGATTTAAAGATTTTCGAACATATCAACACTTTGCTAATCAGAATTTGTATATTCTTTAACCTAAAACTCTACTAACTTATCATAGCTCGATAAAATATAAATACTCGTTCATTTCTACTACCTCTGCACACACAAAACACGGGAAAATGGCCTATTTCCACCCCTACTATTTGGACGGTTCCGTTTCCTACCCACACAACGAGTTGGTGCTTATTTCAACAGTTTTCGTAACAAATTTCAAATTAACTACCCATACTCTGTGTTTATAGTTGAATTCAACATTGACTCAAACGGACGTTAGTCAACCGTTAAAATAGAAGAGTCGGATGACACAGTGGCAATTCAAAAGAGGGAAAAGGTCCTATTTCTACCCTTACTATTTGAACGGTTCCTTTTCCTACCCACACAACGAATTGGTGCCCATTTCAACAATTTTTGGAACAAATTTCAAATTAAGCAGAATATCGAGCTATGGGAATGCTCACTGCTGAGCTCTTGTGGATCAAAGGTTTGTTGACGGATCTTGGAGTTGTGATGACACGTCCAATGAGCGTGTTTTGTGATAGTCAAGCTGCGATCCATATTAGTGCTAATCCGGTATTCCATGAGAGGACTAAACATGTTGAGGTTGATTGTCATATATATTGTGCGGGATGAGATTGTTAAGGGTACTATTTCAACGCAACATGTTTCGACTCATGCACAGTTGGCAGATATCTTCACCAAAGCTTTGGGACAGAAAGAGTTCAAAGATTTTCTCAGCAAGTTGGGTGTTCTTAATCTACACACTTCCAACTTGAGAGGGGAGGTGATGCGGACATCCAAATCAAACCAAACCAGGAGTGTACCAAACCTACCGGTACATGTATCAAACCGGTTGATATGGAGCATTTTGGAGGATTCTTGCCCAAATGGAGTCATAATCAAGCACAAGGCCTAGGGTAAGTTATTCACCAGAAAATTAATCCTAAGAAGACAAACGATAGTTCAGGAGGAATCAAAGACCAGCGAGCCGAATCACCATGTTGTGGAAATTTGACCGTTGCACTCTTTTTCCCTTATCTAGGGTTTGTCCCAATGGGTTTACCTAGAAAGGTTTTTAACGAGGCAACATCAAGTCATCAAGGAATCATTTACCAAGAAATTGATTCGAAGATATTACAAGTACATACAGCTGATGTACTTGCTGACAGACCGGCTGAACTACTCGCTGAACTACTTGCTGAACTACTTTCTGAAGTACTGCGCCAAATGAAGCCGGACAAGGAAATCTTCCTTATTCTACACTTGGACGCACCTCAAAGCTACATATGGAAACCAGGAGAACATCTAGGCTACACAAGACATGTACCACACAAACTTTGGTACACCTTACCACACAAGAACCCGCGGGGTTATTACTTGCCATATATGGAGTCGAAGGAGATCAACTTGCAACAAAGCTTTCCTTCTTTGTTTGTGCGCTTGTGTGAGAATCTTGAGACCCTCCAGAAGCTTCCAAGACGTCACAACTTCCTCCCCAAGTTGACAAGATACAAGGCACACCTCACTTGCCTTATTTGGACCAACGACCATATTTTCTTTTAATGTTGCGATTTGTTTCTTTGTTTAGCTTTTAGAACGTTTGTACTCAGCCTATATAAGCTGATCATTAGTCTCATTGTAAAGCACCCTTGATCATTTTAAAGTAATAGAAACGTTTTCTACTTGTCAAAGTTTGAGTCTTTGTC